CACAGGACACACACACACATAAGTGGGTGGATGACGCCGTACATGAATTTCTATAGGCAGAGTGCTTGCACGCGAATATTGCATTCGTTCATGTAAGTATTCTTTGTAATTCGGCGCAATTAAACATTGCGCTAATTGGGCTGTATGTGTATGTGTGCATGTGTGTATATATGTATATATGTATATATGTATATATGTATGTGTGTATATATGTATGTGTGTATTAGTGTATACACACGCCAGCATTACCGATGGACGGCACCGCACCAGATCACGCGCTCCTGTGCGGTGTGGACAGTGTTGAGTGGTGCAACAGCAGCAGCAGTAGTGCAGCAGCAGCATGCAGTAGCACTAGCAGTAGTAGGAGCATAGTAACACGCAGCAGCAGCAATGTAGCAGTAGCAGCAGTAGCACAGCTAGTAGCAGCAGGCAGCAGCAGCAGTAGAGCACAGCCAGCAGCATCAGCATCAGTAGCAGTAGGCAAGTAGTAGGAAGTAGGCAGTAAGCAGCAGCAGCAAGTAGCATAGCAGCAGCAGTAGCAGGCAGCAAGCAGGCAGCAGCAGCAGTGGCATCCAACAGTAGCAGTAGCAGCAGCAGCAGTAGTAAGTAGTAGTAGTAGTAGTAGTATAGTAGTAGATAGTAGTATAGTAGTAGTAGAGAGTAGCAGTAGCAGCACAGTAAACAGCAAGCAAGTTAGCAGCAGTAGCAAGTAGTAGCAGTGTAGTTAGTAGTAGTTAGCATAACAGCACAGTAGCAGGCAAGTAGCAGTAGGCATAGTAGTAGTAGTAGTAGTAGGCAGAGTAACAAGTAGTATTAGCCCAGTAGCAGCTATTTGGCTGTCTATCTTCTCTTTAAGCCAGAGAGATAGCTACCGCTAATGTTTCGTATACGTACGCAGGGTTCTGCCCAGGATTTTTTAGTGCCGGGCGCATCCAGTTGGATGCAAGCGCCGTAGGCGCGAAGCCAATCTAGGGGGCCCTGAAAATTTTTGATTTTTTGTAGTCTGAAACTCAATTTCCTGCATTCTGAGCAATAAAAAGCCCATATATCAGATTTTTTTTTGTTAATATTAAAAATTTGTGCGGGCGCACCGCGGAGTGCCGGGCACACCCGCCCCGCCGCCGCCCACCGTGGGCAGAACCCTGCGTACGTACAGTGATTTCATTAAATCGTTAGTGCTGGCTACTACAGCTGCGGTGGCTGTTATAATGCTATTCCCTGACGTATTTGTCTGTATGTGTACGCCTAATTGTGTTCCTGATTGGATATTCATTTGTGTAGTGCATAGTCGCGTGACGTGATGTGGCTGGTTTCGAAATCAAGTCGTGTGTGTATCCGTGCGTGCGCGCGTGCGTGCATGCGTGTCCTGTGGCGTGGCGTGCGTGCATGGGTATGTGCGCGTGTGCAGGCAGGCATGGGCAGGCAGGCATGCAGGCAGGCAGGCATGCAGGCAGGCAGGCTATGCAGGCAGGCAGGCATGGCAGGCAAGGGCAGGCAGGCATGCATGCAAGCAGGGCAGGCAGGCATGGCCACAGGCTTGCAGGCAGGCAGGCATGGCAGGCAGGCAGGGCAGGGCAGGCAGGCAGCATGTCAGGCAGACAGGCAGGCACGCAGGCATTTGGCAGGCAGGCAGGCATGCAGGCAGCATGCAGCAGGCATGGAAGGCAGGCATGCAGGCAGGCAAGGCAGGCATGCAGGCAGGCACTGCAGGCGGGCAGGGCATGGCCAGGCAGGCATGCAGCAGGCGGCAGGGGCAGGCATGGCAGGCAGGCAGGCAGGGCTAGTATTAGCAAGGAAGCAAGCTAACATCCTAATCGATTTCTCGTTTTGTTGGCGCTGTATACAAATGAGTAAGAGTGTTCAGCAGATGCTACGAAATGTAATCGATTTGCGTGGTTAGGGTTAGGGTAGCGTAGTGGGTGAAAAAGACAGTAAGCAAGTGTGGAGGTGAGAGGGACGACTGCCGGAGCGAAAGGGAAAGAGTGGGGAAGAGAGAGCGAGCGAGACCGAGAGGGAGAAAGGAGGGAGCGAAAGAAAGAGAGAGCGAGAGCGAGAGAGAGAGTCAAAGAGAGCGCGCGCGTGAGCGAGAGAGAGGCGAGAGCAAGAGCGAGAGGGAGAGAGAGAGAGAGAGCGAGATGAGAGAGAGAGAGAGAGGTAGAGAGAGAGAGAGAGAAGAGAGAGAGAGAGAGAGAGTGAGAGAGAGAGAGAGAAAGAGAGAGAGCGAGAGAGAAGCCCAGCGCCAACAATTAATCAGGCGGCGATCACACGGATGAAGATGCTCAGCCTCACGATCGTTAAGTCCGTCCGGCGCGCGCGTGTGTCCGCGCCGTGGCCGAGATTAGAGACCGTGCTAGCTGACTAACGCACCGTGTCCATGACTCCTCGTGCGAGCTAAAGCACGATCCACCCACCTACTGCTGTCTTAGCATGCGTAAGAGTGGGAGTAATGGATGGGGAGAGAGGAAGGGTGGGAAGGAAAGTGAGAGGGAATAGGAGAAACGAGAAGGAAAGAGGGGGAGCGGGGGAGATGAAAAGTGGGAAGGCGAGAATGCGTGATAAGGGAAGGGTGCCGATGAGAAGAGGAGGAAGAGGTAGAAAGGATTGCATGGAGGGTAAGAGGGAGGAAGGGGAAAAGTGAGGATGCGATCCCACGGTCCCATACAACGTGCGCACTCTATTCATACTCGCATCCCCACGTTTTGAAATAGGCTACATATAGCTGAGTAGCGCGTCTATGTCCGCCCAGCCGGTGACCCCGCGCCGGAACGCTACCCTGGGTACGGTCCGTATACCGGAACATACCTGGCAGCGGCGCCTGGTACTATCTAATATGCCGTACGCTCACCTAACTCCACTAACGAGTCTAGGGTCGCCTACGTCTACTCCCTAACACCTAACCCTTACCTAACGCCTAACCATATTAGATAGTACCAGCGACGTTCGACGTATACGCGCGTAATACACGACGTCGGATACCCTGTAGCCGGCATACCCGGGAGCTAGACCCTATGAGCCTACTTGAATAATTATATACAGGCGCCTCGTTCGTTGTTGGTTTACAAGCCTGTGATGATAGCGAGTGATTCAGTCAGCCGTGTGTCTATACACACACACACACTCTACCGCTGCTCTACATCTGCAGATGAGTTTAGTGGTCCCCCGTGCTCCTGCAGCGTGTCGCCAAGCCATGTTTGCAGGCTTGTGTGGGTAGCAGTCAATTAATTACCGTTGTTCGTGACGCTGATGTCATCTAGGCAATCGTAGAGGCCGTGCGGCGTGTGTACACGCGATGGTTGGCTGGATAGTGCTGGCTTGGTGCTGACGCTGATGCTGCGGTGATGATGACAGTGATAGTCATCGTGATTATGGCTGGACTCGTGATGGTTATGGCTGCAGTGATGATGATGATGATGATGATGATGATGATGATGTATGATAGCTAGATTGAATGACGTGGTGGTGACAACTACGCATGACGATGATGATGGTGTCAGATGGTGATGACAATAATAACAACGATGACGATTGACGACGATGATGATGATGACGATGGTGATGATGATGATGACGCATGATGATGATAGATCGACGATGATGATGTGATGATGACCAGATGATGATGATGAGTGATGGCTAACACAGCCCATCGAGCACTAACGGTTGTCCGATTGCTCGAGGACACAGTGAAAAGTCTATGTCGGACAAGTTTATCTCTTGGCCTAGTTGCGCCGATCGACGAACTGAAAAAGTTTCTCACTTGTTTAATATTCCTAACATCCTCTGAGGCCAGGAACGCTATCGCACCACATTCTGCACTTCAACGTTTTTACAGCGGTCGCCTGAAAAACAGCAGCGCCGCGACAACCACTGTTTACCATTAACAAATTTATCAGAGGGCGAGTAGCATAGCCTCCGGCGCAGGCGGCATTGATTTATGTCTCGGGGTGGGAGGGTTAACGATTGTTTATAGTCGCGTTGGCGGGCTATTAATTAGCTGAATATGTAGGGGCGTGGCATCGCTGGATAGAGAGGACGAGCAGCAAAAACTCTTCTGCTGAATGATTGAGGCAAAAGCTGCAATCGTAATGACACACAATGAGCGTGCGCAGCATTGCAAACATAAAACGTTGTGATTTCATTACCGATCTTTACATCTGTAGGCTGTATTTTACTCGTGTATAAGTATAATTACATGTATATTATAATCGCACCCCATATTTGTGCATTGAAAAGTTAGCAAACATCGTACAGAACATTTGGTACATTACTAAGATTTCTTAGCCTCGTCTATTGTAAGTCGCACCCGCCTGATTTTTTTTATTAAGTTGTGTAGCAAACAGTGCGGGTTGATATGTAAGTACAATACACGGGTATATATAATGTAGTGCTAATACACCACGCACGCATGCGAAATGCGCGCCCGCAGACACATGCCAGCTAGGTATGTGCCGAGCCTATATGCACGCAGGATATGGCCAATATATCAGGAGTTGTATGAATATATATACTCTACATCTATGTTATATGTTATACAGTATGTATATATAATATAATTTCTATATATATATTATTGTATATGAACATGTAGGATCCTCTATATTATACACTGCCTGATAATGATGATTATGACGAACCAAAAGAGGACATTTACGCCTAATTAGATTGCACAGTAATTTTGGACAAAGTAAATCAATAAATTTCGACAAGTAGAAATTGCGCTTTTCTTGTTGCCCGACAGGACAACCAGATCTGAAATAATAAGCGTCGAGGCCTGTGCTAGGAAGCTGGTTATCATGATGGTGTTGATGATAGCGGGGAGGCTGCGACTGCTGCCGCTGCTGATGATGGCTACGATGTTGACTCTGTTGACACTGACGTTGTTGACACCGATGCTATTATAATTGCTGTTGCTGCTTTTGTTGCTAATGCTACCGATTATCATCATAATCCAGTACTAACATCCACCCACCCTCTCTCTCTCTCTCTCTTCCTGTAGAAGCTGGTGGACGCGATATGTCAGAAGCTGAACGATGACAACATGAGCGTGTGCCACGTGCCCTGCCTCGAGGCTCTGCGCATCGTCAGCCGTGACCGCTCGCACCTGGACGTGATCACGGGCCGCGAGGTGCTGCGCACGATGCAGTGGCATGCCAACCTCTACGTCGACCTGCAGGACGAGGTCAGCCAGATACGCAAGGAGTACGTAGACAGAGTAAATAACAACAGCACAGGTAAGCAGGCAGGTAGGCAGAGTAAATAACAACAGCACAGGTAAGCAGGCAGGTAGACAGAGTAAATAACAACAGCACAGGTAAGCGCGGGCAGGTAGACAGAGTAAATAACAACAGCACAGGTTGTTGTTAGCACAGGTAAGCAGGCAGGTAGGCAGAGGAAGGAGTGATGACAGCACAGGTAAGCAGGCAGGTAGACAGAGTAAATAACAACAGCACAGGTAAGCGGGCAGGTAGGCAGAGTAAATAACAACAGCACAGGTAAGCGGGCAGGTAGACAGAGTAATTAACAACAGCACAGGTAAGCAGGCAGGTAGACAGAGTAAATAACAACAGCACAGGTAAGCAGGCAGGTAGGCAGAGTAAATAACAACAGCACAGGTAAGCAGACAGGTAGACAGAGTAAATAACA